GTAGCACTAAGATACTCAAGCATTGGTGTTTACCCTAAATGAACATAGTTCTATTTCCTTTTCCAACTTGTTATATCAAAACCTGTAGGGCGCTGATGGTCAAGCGATAAAAGTTACTAAGTCATCGCTCCGGAGGATGTGTTCGAATCCCACCACCACCACAGTGATTTAAGAAACAATTTTTATTGGCCAGATTTTCATTCGTTATCAGAAATTTAACTCGAGCGGAACACAAAAATCGAGAGTGATGGGCTTGTTGAACCGATGTGCTTGGTCTACCCAACCTTACGAACAACAGCTGGCTTCAGTTCGACGCTACACTGTAGCCTTCTTTCGTTTGTATAACGGGACTTAACGGACTTTAAGTCCCTATTCTTCATTTCGAAAATTGAGCTCACTCGTGTAAACTACAGTGTCTGAGTGATCTGGCGATTTTTCCCTGAATGTATACAATCGGTTTGTCTGTTATTGGTAATGAGTTCCAGATTTTAATCACTCAGTGATCACTATATATTAGGCACATCATAAAACTTTTATCTTCAAACTAGTTGAAAATATTTACATTAAACCCTTAAAATTCACTTCATCCTTCAAATATATATTTCCAATAAAGAACTTTCACAAAGTATCAACCAGATTTCAATAAGAAATTATTTTGGTTAATCAGAGAGATGTCTCTGTATCATCGCTGTTTCAATTCTGTCTAAAGTAGAGTTAGACTTGTTTGGTGCAATACACTAACTATATACACCTATCTCAATACTTTTTAACTGAGCTACGGAACCTTGTCAAGACAACCCGCTTCCTATGAGAATTGTTTCACTGTTTTCTCCTTAAAACTGATCCTGGTTACCAAAATTATCTCTCACATACGCGGACAAGGAGACTTTTTCCAAACGAGCGAACTAGTCCCCGGTTCCTTTATCCGTCGAACCGATTGGGACCTAACCCGGAAAATGGCCTCAGTTATGTTAGGTACCAATAACAAACACATCAACGTTACACAAAACTATGCAAATTCTTTCCAAATCGAATTCATCTGGATGGCTTTCCCGTACGAGTCGTTCTGTTTTGATTAAGCATTCGCACAGTATAGAGTATCAAGTTTGGATTCCAATTGTATAGTACTTTCAAAGACTAATGAAACCTATAATTTTGACTAAGTTCCCGTGAGTGACTGTTATTGTGACACGTTCAAAATGGCTCTTGCTTTTGAAGGAGGAATTCACGAAACATTCAGGCATACGATTTGTCGAGAACCTATATTTCAGCGCATGGTACCATTTAGAGGAAAAGCACACTGAGCAATTCAGCTAATAGCTGTAGTGACACAAGAACAAATGAGGGGGGAGGCGTGAATAGTGAGGTGGGAGAGAAGGTAAGGTTATCAATGTTTGCCGCGTGTTTAAACGTGACTGTTTGACTAGCCTTAACAGCAGTTTGATACAAAATGATGTAACAAATTCAATATCACAGGCATAGAGCAATCATGTGGCCTCGGAACTATCCATTTGAGTCACAGAAAACCAAGTTCACTGGGAAACGGATGAAGACTGTGAAGTTTTATTTAGTCAATCGGAAATGAGGTAAATGATTATGTTTTGGCAATGGATATGCCCGGATTTGGTTGATGGACCGTAGATCGTGTTCATCAAACCTAACAAACGTAAAGTCCTCGTGTGTGTCGAACACGAGTTCGGCAACAGACAAAAGATTATCACTGGGGTTTGAAAAATGACCGTAGTATACTGACCAAACGGAACTTACATTGAACGTTTCATTACACTGCAACGAACTTCTAATCGTCATAATATACAGAGGTAAAAATAAATATTTTCCGATTCGTTCAGTAACAGTTCGATTCGGGACCAAAAAGCAGTGATGATCACTATAAACGAATCCTAATAAGGCGTATGCAATCTTTTGGATGCTCCTTGATGGCCAAATAATAATCTTTTAGCGTGAAAAGCATGAACCAGTTCACACAGTTCACCAGTTCACCAAAAACAATAGAGACACCGTCGATGGGACCGCGTAAACAGTGTGAGCTCCGTCCCCATGAAAAAAACATTCCTTGGATAAGTTTGGACACACTATTGAAATCGTGCGGCGCGCCGATTGGGGAATCGGTATTTATAAAACTTAACCAAACATGAGGTAATTCCGAGTAGTTGGTTATTGATGACGATGATGATGATGATGATGTTTCACGATTAATATGAATTCATCAATTATTTTTGCTGTTTGACTTCAAATTCATGAGCTGGTACAGTAGAATATCCATATATTCAACATGTGAGCAATAGTCGACTTAACTTCCTAATTCTAGAAAATCTATGAAACAAACATGATCTTACATAGAGAGTAAATATGATATGACATTAATCTCATCAAAGTTTTATAGTCTTTTCAAAAACAAATGAGGAAATCAAAAAGTTTATCGATAGACTTTGGAAGTATAACTAACATCATGGTGATCAGTCGTTTTCTGGATTTATGTTCATTTTAAGTCTGATACATTTCTATAGAAACATGCTAATTAACCTGTTAGGATAAGGAAGTATTCGGTGTTGCAGCATTCAGGCGATGAACTGACTCAAATTTAAAATAGACCTGCTCAAGTCAAACGTTTTAGAACAGGGACCAATATATTTCGTCTACACTGCCAACGCTCTGTGTCCAGTTGAAGATTTGGGTAAATCACACCAATGCTCAGAAGAGTTCTAGGTAAATTCCTTTACGCGATGGAAGAGAGAACGGAGGGATAGAAATGTATTTGTGTTTTATGTTCGATCGAACTGTGGGGTGGACTGTAAATGAACCCTTAAAAGCGTATTCCTGTCGGGACTCGAAGCATAAACCGTCGGATTACAACCCAAGTTCCTTAGGCCCGAGCTGCACAGATCCACAATGCGTCAACGTTGGTATCGCAAGAACTACATAATATAACATCTCATTCTGTATATATCTGTGCCTCTTGCAATATCCCAGTTTATTTCCAAAAATGCTACGGAAAATTTTGGAGAAATCACAGAGGGTTAATGAATACTTTGTTTCACATCAGTCGAATGAAATGAGTTGGATATCTTTATCGATAATTTTGCGGTACGTTCGTAACTAAAGTGGCGATAGATATTGTATTGTTCCTTTATCTGATGAATTTGCTATGCCAATCATCTATGAGGACCTTGGTAATACTCAGGATAGTAAATTGCATTTGTTTCCAGATCACAGATCGCAACATGGTTCAAATGAGTAATACTAACGAGGAAATGAGCATGTTAATTTTCCTTCGCATTTAACTCATAGTTAGTTTTGAGTAGTGTTGTGGGGTAACTGATATTGACTGATTAGAACTGACCGTCCTTCAGACTTCATCTTCACGCACATTCCTCAGCTCTTCCGATCCATCATACACTCGGAAGTACTAGACTTAAGTTTCGCTCTTATTACAGCTCATCAGTAGTGCATATCCACCGTCCCATCCGGGCTTTGAACTTCAGACCCATCGCATGGAAGGTGTTTATGTTACCGTTGTGCCAGCTAGCTCATACCAGGGTTAAAACGAATTGTCAAATCATGTTTTTTCGTTTGTTGTCTTCAGTGATAGTCAGTCAGTTCAGTTTAGCTTTCGATTGGAGTTAACAGATAGTCAACTGTGTCGCCCATCGTTGCTGTCGGACCAAATTGAAATGACTGGTTATCTCTGAAGACGACACCTGAAAAAACATGAATTAACAATTCGATTCAACCCTGATATGAGCTAGTTGGCACACTGGTAACACATGTCTTCCGTGAGATGGATTCGGAGTTCAAAGCCCAGATGGGACGGTGAATATGCAATACTGATGAGCTCTAGTAAGAGCGAAACTTAAGTCTAGTGCTTCTGAGTGTATGGTGGACTGGAAAAGATGAGAAATTTGCGTGAAAGTGAAGTCTGAAGGATGGTCAATTCTAATCAATCCACATGAATATTTTCTCAGAATTGTTTTTGTCTAGAATTCCGAGGACAACCGCGCATCTACTGAATTTCCCTGTAGTTGCACGTCGTCAAAAGTGAAATTGTATCAGAAACAATACAACTACTTCATACTTCAGTCAAGTACGTACCAGTGCAGGTGGTGACAATACTTGGGCACCAAACACGCCATTGCTCATCTACTCTCTAAGATTGGATGAAACAATAGAAACTCTCTTTCAAATAAACAAAAATTCACCAAAACTTCGTTTGTGTTTCACCTTCTGGGAGGTCACATTTTACAATTGTAGTGTATCCATGCTTATGATAAACTTTTAATGATCGGCAAAAAGAGAACGACAGTTATTTTGTTCTTGAGAGGACTCCTCCGTAGTGAATATTATTTAAATCCCGTTTCGGAACTTAATTCATGTGCACTTAAATTAAAAATGGAACTTATCTTCCTCAAACCTCATGGTCAGCGACCTGTTCCTTGAGTTTCTTGTTGCATTTATTTTGCATTGGATGAGCCCATTGTAGTTTACCATCATAAGATATTGTTTTGGCTTTCTCCTGCTGCATATGTAATCTCCAAAATATGTTATATCAATTAAGCTATTGATCTTTGACTGCATCTCACAGGTAAGGATTTAGGATTCCAACTTGAGTGTTCATGGTTCGAATCCCGAGAAAGTGGCTCCCACTATCACTGATAACGAATCCCTCACGAGGACAAAACAGCTATCCAGTGCGTTCTGTGGGCCATGCTGGGTACGTGTTGTTTGTCCCATAAACTCAGCGTATCCAGCCGCTGCTCCTATGTCATTATCGAGTCTAAACTTGTACCGCTCACTATTCAAAAGCGATCTCGCTTCTTCAAAACACTGAGAAGCTTCTATATCAAAGTATGGCAAAACTTTGAGTTGTTTTTTCTTGTTCGGTTTTCTCCCTATTTTGCCGTTTCTCTTCTAAGTAATGGGGAATTTTTCAATGAAATGTAATTGCAGATTCAAGCAGACTGTAAGACAATAAACAGACTTACGGTATTCCATCTCTAATCCGGTATATTTGATCTTGTTCGCTTCATGAAACGCCTTTTTCTTCAGTCGACAAATCCTGAAGTGTGAACAAAACGCATTGGAAACAGTGCTTGCGTGATATTGATTGAGTGTGATTGAAACATCAGTCTCGGAATGGAATAACTCGCACCTCGAATCCGTTCAAAATATTTCAATAGAGAATAATCTTATCGGATCCGTACTGCTCCACATGTCTATAGTAAAAGTTGAATGAATTCTGTTCGAACGTGGTTTTTCTAATGGACACTAAATTTGTTACTTATACAATAAACCTTATAAAGTGCGCATTGAAAAGTTTATAATTACTTTGGTCAAAAAATGGTTGTAATAATTTTTGTTGTTCAACTTCCGCAAACAACGGATCGAAGTCGGGTTGCATCGGGTTTGAGCCCGAAATACCACCAAACAAATTGACACACATTTGGAAGTAACACAACTGTTCTGTAGTCTAGCTCGAAAAGTTCTATGGGATTTCTAGCAGACCATACGGTGTTCTCACCGTCACAAGTATCGAGCCTCAATTTTGCTGTTCATTATTGGGAGTTCTGTCGATCTCCCTCCCCCTTGACATACAGTTCGTACATTCATTGATTATTAGTGCACTCTCTCTGTCGCGCGCGCGCGCGCGATCTAGCACGAACAGCCGCCGCCTCTCTTTGCCGAGCACACACGCACACATACACATACACATTCAATCTGACCGCAGTTAGTCGGTTTTGCATGCCGCGTACAATTGAATTGGAGCGACTGGCGAATAAGATGCAAGTGAAATCAATACGATGGCAGGCTGGTTGGCGGGCAGTATGCCGGCTTATCTGTGTGCTTGCCTGCCCGCCTGGCTGGCTGCCCGGGTGGCTGATTAACTGGTACCAATGCTAACTGTTCCATGATCTGCGGTGCCTTTACTGCCATCAGAATAACACATATCTGTCACCAAACGTGGTCTTCAACACAAAACTTATATCCTGCGGGCTGACACGCACCGCAATCCAGCTCTTTTTTTTCAAAGAGATCATCAACCATCATAAATAAAAATAAAATAGACAATGACGTTTTGACCATTGTGAAGAACAAAACAAGACTCGTTTTCGTATTAAATCTAAACCGCCCCCCTCCCCATACATACATCGTTTTGCGCGTTCTTTATTGTCTCCCACCTACAACCAACCTGACGGTCCTATTGCAGTTTCATCCCCCTAGTTCCGATTATTCGATCGCTCTCTCTCTCATTCCCTGTCCCCCTCCCAAATGGTGGCAAATGGCAGGATATCTAACTGACCAATTACGGATCACCCGACAGAGAGATGGCAAACGGTCTGGCCGGCAAACGAGTTTACAAATCCCACAGTCGCATGTCTCCTGTATGTATGTGTACACATACATGTATGCGTGCACCACAGATGAAACGCACACGCGAACAATTCGGTGCACGCTCACGACGTGAATGCAGCACAGTTTTGGACGGAAGAACAATGACAAGCGAAATATTTGGGATCAGATAACCGAACGGCGATTCCAGTCGGCCAGGGGCGCTGGAGTGCGGCAATAGTGGAAAGGCTTTGGTTAGTTTTCTGCTTCACTAACCTCTACCTTCAATCCTTCCTCCTGCCGCACTCGCATTCCGCAAGCATGGTATTGTCATATGTATGCTTTCATCCTACTGACCGCCCCCGGCCCTCTCCACCCCACCCTCGGCAGAATCAAAAACAGTTACCATCAGTCGGTCGACATGTCTCGTCTGATCATGATTTCGATTGCGCTAGATTCGGGTAGAACACCATAACTCGAAGGTTATTCGGTCTTTCAATGTGGTTTTCGAATTGAAAAGAAAACTTTTAGCCAAAGGTAGGTTCATGCCTTCAGTGATAACCGGACAATAATCGAACCGACTCGACCCATTGTCAGGAAACGGTACGCTTGAGGCTTGCGCTAATCTCCTAGTAATCGAATCACACACACGACTGAATACACATTGGAATATGCACCATGTTCAAAGCACAACATTTTCAACACTTTCAGGAGGAGCTCTGCAGCCAAATCATGTCTACCTGGTCGAATCATTTGCATTCATCATTCCGGTTTTAAGTCAGTGGGATCAAGAAGATAAGAATTAAGTCGATAAGGACGAAAAATTTGTGCTACATCAAATTAGACGAATTGAACCGACTTCGGAAACTGTATTTGTGTTTTTCATGCTTCCCGAGAGCTCTTGGACCTAATCACGGCTGCCTGAACTGTGGAACCCAGCAAGTTCAACTAACTAAAAGATGATGCATGCATCAGGTTTACTTGACTCCGGGAGAATTAGGCACAGATCGCCCGA